TGCTGAACATGGCATAGCATGGTTTTAGAAATGGTCTATACTGTACAACGAACCCCCTTATAGCAAGAGAGTTCTGGATAAAGGCGCTAGACAACAGAAACTCAGTGGATGTTGTCTACATAGACTTCAGTAAGGCTTTTGACAAGGTGTCAACAAATAGACTGCTATTGAAGTTGGAAAACCTTGGTATTGCCGGACCTCTTTTAAAATGGATTAAAGATTTCCTAGTAGGTCGTAGACAAAAAGTAAGAATAAATTCCAAGTGCTCCATCTGGAGACCAGTACGTTAATGACCTTACAAGTATAGTACAGTCTCCAATGTTATTATACGCTGACGATGTAAAAATTTGGCGAATAATAACTGGAGACAAAGACGCATTTACTCTTCAGGCAGACTTACATAATATGATAAACTGGTCTAAAGAGTGGCTGATGCCTATCAACGCGGAAAAGTGTGTCTACATGCACTTGGGGGATTCAAAGGTTAATACGTACAACATAGGGGATGTGTCATTATCCGTAGTCCGGTCTCATAAGGATCTAGGGGTGACTGAGTAATGATCTTAAGACGACGGCCCATTGCCGGGAGGTCGCAGCCAAGGGGTTTCGAACACTCTGTGCCTTAAAAAGTACATTCACTAAGTTAGATACTACCATGTTCACCACAGTATACACATCCTTAGTGAGAACTAAGCTAGAGAACTGCGCTCAGGCTGCAAGCCCCTGTTTAAAAGGTGACTCGGGCATACTAGAAAAAGTACAGAGGGCAGCTACCCGTGCAATTCCGAAACTCCAGGGTTTATCATACAAAGAGCGGCTTGAAAAACTGGACCTCTTTACTGTCCTTTCGCAGACTAAGGGGAGATCTAATTTTGATGTACAGAATACTGAGAAATGATTTCTGACCTAACTTATTCACTCTTTCTTCCCACTAGATCGGGACGCCTCAGAGGACATAGCAGGCTAGTAGAAAAGCCAAGAACGAACAAAATACCCGTGGTATACAGGTTTTCATACCGCGTCATCAATACTTGGAACCTGCTGCCCGAAACAGTGGTGTCCGCACCTTCAATTGACTCTTTCAAGAGAAGACTGGACACTCACAGAAGCATACCAGAAAAGGAATAACATAGTCAGTAGGCCTTTTGTCCTTACTACACAAATCTGAATCTGTGTTTGTTTAAACTATCTACCCCGTCAACACTTGTCTCCTTTTGTTAGATTCACTTCCAAAATTCCGGCTTCCATACACATGGAATAATTTTTAGGCTTGTTTGTGTGTTTTCCTCTCCTTTCGGTTGTACTGGAAGATGGACTTACTGTGTCTGATAGATTTAATATCACTAGATAGTGGCTTATTTGGTAGTGCTAGTCCGGAGTAAGAAAATGCGAAGAGTGGAGAGTTCGAAACTACTGGATAGACGAGTTATTTCTAGTAACTGCGATGTTAAATATGAATGAAAATAACGATAGTATGTTCTAGAAACGGTATACAATGCAGGCCGATTAACATGCATGATCAGGTTGACAGTGATTGGAAAAGTGATACAGATAATCAGGGCTTGACAATACTTTTGTCCGTACGACCTTTGTACTCGGAAGATCCCAGTTTCAGCCCAACTGGTATCATTGAAGCTTATTTTAAGCTACTCATACGGTAAAACTTTCCGCTTAAACTCCCAGGATCATTTGACCCTATTTAAAGTATAAAAATCAAATGTTTCTACTCTTACTCAAAAAGGATAAGGACACTCTGGAACGTATATGAAGACAAACCGTAAAATCGTTTCAATAACTTAAATTCAGGCACTTGAAGAACTCAAATCCCTGAAACCCGACTGACTACATGTATGTCAGAAATCAGAGAAAATATGGCAGAACTGACTGTAGACACACCTTATAATCTTTACTCATTGCCGAATTTTGGAGTTCGTCATCATTTAAGCTATTCTAAGCGAAACCAGATGTCAGCAATAAAAGCGTTCGAAGATAAAGTTGGAAGATTTAAAAATAAATTAGAGTTGAAAATAATGCATTATATGTAAAAAGTACTCTGATTTGATCTTGGTCACAATGTCCACGTTCATATGCAATACACGCCAAATGTGGATCACGCTTTTCACAGTATTTACCGACAACAGAGCTATTATAATACTGATTTTCTCTCAAGAAACGTTCAGGATTGTTATTAAGGTCAATGTAAATCTTTGCTAGGGCATTGTGTGTAGCAGGCTCAACAGAACCTTCATGTACACGTGATTCGAGCCATGGCAGTAATAACTTCAGCCGATTGCGCTTTTCCACCTCTGCAACAAGTTCATCAGTATTGAACTGACCTGCGAAAATAAATAAATAACGGGAGTGTTATACTTTATTAACTACTTCTTGAGCTTACAAGTAGGAAAAATTATAAACGTACCACGAACAACGGCCATCAATTGCTTTATTATATCCTCTGAACAATCAACATCTAAAAGACCTCCAACAACTACTGGTAAACGGGCTGGATTAACTTTTTGCACATAAATCTCAATGTATTTCTGCAAATTATTACGAAACAAATAAAGGACGAGATCATGAACAAAATCGAAGCGATCGCAGACAATAATAAGAGGTAATTGATCCGTAAGTTTTGCCTCCTGAAAAAAAGTATATGTTACATCATAAGAACCATAAAAGAAATCTGATTAATATTATTTTAACAGAAATTGGAATATTAGCTGAAAGCATCAGTATTGGCAGCAATTTCCAGTAGCCGTAACTGTTCATGCTTACTTTTTTGAAATAGAACTACCAAACTTCCAAAATTAATATGAAGTCTAGAAGTACAGTCCTCACGAGAACTGCTTATTCTTATCACAGACCGGAGTTATGTATAGTATTAAGAAGTGCCTAACAAAAATCTCTCTGTAGAGATGTTAAAATGTCTGTTTCTTACATTAAACTTTCACCTTAGAGTGATCATGCAAGACTTGCGTAAGAAGCCTAAACTGGATGTGCCAAATTATGAAATGGACCACCAAACCTCTCACATAATTTAGCTGACTGTTACTCTTTATTTAATGTTAGAACGAAAGATAATTAGCATTTAAATATATATCTATCATGAAACTACCACAAACAAAATAAGTAAATCCTCCAGTACAGTGAAAACCTAATTTAGTGGTCACAGTAAAACCAGTTCATAGTACGAATTTAGATATATTTCGAATCAACACCACCTGTTATTGGATGAATTTTAACTAATAGAATGATACTTTGGAATTTAACGCAATACGTATTAAACTCAGAATAAAACCACATTCCCAATTATTTTAATTATGAATATATTTTTAAATACAACTGAGCAATTCTTTATCAAAACTACTGGGGTTGTGCAGTAATGATAAGATAAGCTCACGATCTTCTACATGCAATACCATCACTAAGAAAATTCCTTAGTGAAGAGAACACATGTGTTTAGATAAATTGTGGACAACTGATGATTTAAACTTGTAACTAGAATCGGCTAGCATAAATGAAGTTGATTACCACAACTTTATACGTATATAATAAATGCATGAGAATAAATACTAAGATTATTACCTTAAGAAAATTTTTAACTCGTTCTGGTTCATAACAATTGCTTTCGCGACAAATACGTTCAACTTCTTTGACTTGTCCGGTTTTACAGGCAGCTTGAATATATTTAAAATGAACTTCAGGTTCTTGACTAAAATTAACAATAGACCCCAAAAAATAAAACAAGCCTTCAAATGATTTGAATGATTCGAAAATTTCGATAAGCGCATTTGTCCCCAACTGTTCGTGATACTTAGTAGCAATCTGGACACAGACGTGGAGATTTTGTCTAATGTTTGCCTGTAGCATAGCTCTCAAACACTCCAACGAATCATCGACAGAAAGTGAGCCAAAATAATTGACAAGCCACTATAAAATTTGTAAGAAAGAAACAAAAAGACTAGAAACTTTCCGGATGAAAATAAGGCAAGTGAATGCTGACACCACATTTAAATACGAAAATTGGTTTAATACTTCTACAGACCAAAGAGAAAATCACTTAAACTTTCACACACATCTGGAGGAATGATGAAATAAACTATACATCAGTAAAAATTGATAAAATAGCTCAAACGATTGTCTTCTAAAATCAATAACAAACACTGTATATTTACCATTCGGAAATGTTTACCGGGTACAGTTCCAGGTCTTAATATGACACTATGGTGATAAGAAAATTGTTCGTAAACGATGGCAAGTACAAGAGAGGGCCACAAAGTGACGTAAACTGCACTCTAGTCCGTCGCATGAATTCCGTATGATGTTGACGATTCTCTTAGTATGGAAGAAGGTTCCCTATGGTTTTCCTATCAGCAATGTAAAATTCTTTTTTATGATCAAGGAAGATGATGTACAGTGGTGGCTTTTATTCAATGGATTGTTCATCGATGGTCCGTAATGTCATGGGTTTTTTTTACACGACCGATGCTTACGGAATCCGAACTGTTGATCTTGAATTTGGGCGTCTTCTGAGTTTGTCATCCGGTTCAGCGACACTCTGCTGAGAACTTTTCCCTGGTACTGACATTACAGTGTACCTCTGTAGTTCTCATATTTCCTCATACCTTTCTTTGGTATTTTGATTTGATATCCTTCTTCCCAATCTGTCGGCATTTGTTCCTCCTCTCAAATCTTCCTGAATGGATCGTATAGCATATTTGCAGTTACTTCTATACCTGACTTCAGTGCTTCAGCTGGTAGTTTGTCAGGTCCTGATGCTTTTCCTCTCTTGATTTATCTGATGACCCGTCATCCTGATTTATTCGGTCGTTGGTGGAGTGACGACTATAGGAATATATGTGAGTGCTGCCTCAATGTCCGATGGATTCAATGGAGCTGTCCAATTCAAGAGTTTCTCAAGGTGTTTTACCCATTTGTTCCTCTGTACTTGAATCTCAGTGGTTGGCTTCCCTTCTTTGTCCTTGACTGGCCCCTCTTGTTTACTATATTTCCCTGCTAGTTTCTTCGTTATGTCATATAGTTGTCTCATATTTTGATCTCTTGCATTTTTTTCCGCTGTCGTCTCAAAATGTTCCATGTATCCCCACTTGTCAGCTTTAATGTTCCTCTCCACTAGCTTGTTTGCTTCAGTGTAACCAGCTTGTACCTTGACTTTCTCTGTTTTTGTTCGGCAGTTGTTAATTTCTGTCTTCTTGTTCATTCTTTCTTGAATAATGTCCAGTGTCTCGACAGAGATCCATTCTTAATTATAGTGATACTTGGGGTCCAGTAGCTCCTGTCACTTTAGAGTTACTGCTTCTTTGATCCGTTTCTTGTTGTTCTGTATGAGGCTTGGAACCTGATGTTGAGAGCTATCTTGAATTCCTTGAGTTTGTCAGTATCTCGAAGGAAGGCCGTATCGAACCTTTGTAATTGTTTTCTCCAGTCGTCCAGTGTTCCTTCAGCCTTATTTTCATCCTAACAACCACCAGGTAGTGATCTCAAGCTGTGTCAACTCCTTTCTCTTTTCCTACGTCTTCCATTGTCCCTCTTATTTTTTTAGTGATGCAAATCTGATCAATCTGGTACTTTGTAGTGTGACTCGGTAAGAGCCACGTAACTTTGTGCATGGATTTGTGGAAGAATATTGTGCCACCAATTAAAATTCTGTTGAATGAACATAAATTTGAAAACCTGTCTTCATTCTTGTTCCTTTCTCCCGGTTAGTTCAGGTCGTCTCATGATATCTTCATTTGCGATGTTGTCCATTCCGAATTTGGCGTTTAGGTCTTCCATTAGGATGGTCAGATTCTTTCCTGGCCACTTTGCTATGATCGATTGCAGCCTCTCATAGAACTGATCTTTATTGCCGTCATTGTTATCTTTGGTTGGCTCATCTCAATGGATAACATTCAATATGATTCTCTACTTTGTTTTGAAAGATGCTTTGATGATCCTGGATTCACGAGATTCCCACTCAACAAGCGCATTTCGTACTTCTGTGGACAGCATCAGAACCACTCCATGAGTGTGTGGAGTATTTTCGTCTTTGTGACCTGAGTACAGCGGCATCTCTTATGAATCTATCCTCTCCTGTTAGGCTCCACTTCACTGATTCCGAGCACCACTAAGTTGTATCTCCTCATTTCCGTAGCTATTTGACTGGTTCTCGCGGTATCACACATTATCCGGACATTCCATGTACCTATATTAATTGTTGCTTTGGGGCATCGGCCTTGTGACTTTGGAAGAATCTCGACTTACACCATGAGGCATCATAATTCTTTTTTCAACTCGGAGGGCAGAGTTTAAATGATTCAGTTTTCTTAATTTGGTTAGCGTTTTTTGGCAAGGTTTTTTTTCTATGGGATGGGGTGGTTGACCTCATGCCCAACACTCCTCTTTTACTCGGGTTTGGTACCGGCAGTACCCAAGCTACAGGTGGAGTTCTTCAGAAACGTTGTGAATTCGAATTCCTAAAGATGTATAATAGAAAGATAAATAAAGCATCGAGTGTTATAGAACAAATCTTAAGGACTGTTGTAGTGTGTGTGATTCAGGTGATTGCGATTCTTCAACACTACCGTAAAACACTTCTGAACATACAACTATATTTTTTGTTGGTTACATACCAGGCCAAAGTCTGAGTTCAGGAAATGGGTTGTTCCATTTATACTGCATCATTATGATGGGAATTAATTTACTCAAATAGAGAGAAAAGCGTGTCTACAAGAAATTCCTGAATGACAGTCTCCTGAAAACTAAGGTCCTTCACTCGGATTGTGTAACATTTTGAGGTACAATTGACGGGTGGAAATACGATAATTATCTTCCATGTTATTGAACACAACTTACGTAAAAACCATTTTGTATATGATAATTACAGGGGATTGGCATTTATTCTGTCTGACTGCCAAGATGCTAAACGACATAATGTCGTTTGTTTAACTGCTCCAATCTGGTAACTGGCGTCTACATTTCTTTCTCCGTCTCACCTAGTTTTTATCATTAGGTGTTATGGCTTCTCCACAGATGCCCATCAAATTTCAGGAACATTTGCAGGTTAGTATTATAATAAGCTATAAACTATCATTCATGTGTTATAGTTAGTTAATGTTGGAATTCAGCCTACCAGCATAGGATTTAGTACTTTGACTATGGAATCGGATAAGTTTATTTGTGTCAGGGAAACTACAGGTGAGACGTCACAAGTTGTAATTATTGATATGAATGATCCAATGAATCCTACTCGTCGTCCTATTTCTGCCGATACAATAATAATGAACCCCGTAAGCAAGGTAATGGCTTTAAAAGCTGGAAAGTTGTTACAAATTTTCAACATCGAACTGAAAAGCAAAATGAAGACATACACCATGCCAGAAGATGTCGTATTTTGCAAGTGGATATCCGTGAACACCATTGCACTCGTAACTGGCACAAGCGTTTATCACTGGGCTATGGATGGCGATTCAAATCCAGTCAAGATGTTTGATCGTCACCAGTCTCTGACGTCTACTCACATCATAAGCTATCGTTGTGATCCAAGTCAGAAGTGGTTGTTGCTTATCGGAATAAATCCAGAAAAAAACCGAGTTGTTGGGTATATGCAGTTATATAGCGTGGAGCGCAAAGTTAGTCAAGCGATAGAGGGCCATGCCGCTGCATTTGCTCGTTACATACTTGAGGGGAACACCAGTCCCACCACGTTGTTTTGTTTTGCCTCACGAAATGCCCAAGCGTGCAAATTACACATAATTGAAGTTGGCCAACCACCTGCAGGGAACCAACCATTTACTAAGAAAGCTATTGATGTTTACTTCCCACCAGAAGCTCAGACCGACTTTCCTGTTGCAATGCAGGTATGTAAGACGTCATCATTTTTCACTTTTAGACCTCGCCAAAGTACAGCATCATATACTTGATAACGAAAAGTGGGTACCTACACCTTTATGATATTGAAAGCGGATCATGTATATATATGAATCGGATAAGCAGCGAGACTATTTTCGTAACAGCTCCCTATGAACCAACTTCCGGTATCATTGGCGTGAATAAGAAAGGGCAGGTAGGATTTCTCGCTGGCATTTTTGTTTTGTTCAGTTTTAATTCCATGTCCCCCTACGTATTTCCTGTTATTTTAACATTACTGCTGTTTAGAAATAATTTGTGTACATTAACCCATTTTTCAGTGGTCGGTGTCCTGAGTACTTATGTAAAATAGTTTATTCAGTATTTCTGTCAGGTTACATTATAATCAGTGACTTAACTAGCTGATGAATGTGTTGTAGCAATGGCTAGATATTTGACTCGATTGACGCTACTCTCTAAAATTTTGGAATTTCAACATAGAGATTTTCCTTTTATATTCATCTGCAGTGTGTGAGCGACTCAGGCCTACCAATCCAAATAAATAGCATTAGATCTATTAACTCCGTTTATGTGTAAATGCACTGTTTGTAAATTAACTACTAGCTGTTATATATCGGTTTGTCGGTAGACAACCAGTATGAGTCATTATCGATAGATATCGTTTCTTACACCATAAATAATGACTCATTTATATCGAACAAAATATTACACGTAAATACGTTCGTAGCACTTATCACTCCATTATCTACAATAGCAATATCGTCTGAGGCATACTAGTTCCTACATCAATTGTCTTCTGCACAGACTGAAATTTTTATGCATGTTAACCACTTCTAACCTCGATACTTCTTTACTGGATAGTAGCAAAAGACTGAATAACTGATCGGCCATGAAAAAATCGACCGATTCCAGCTCTCAGTATGAACTACGGGAAAATACGAATCTTTACAAGTTTCCCCATTTAACATCTGTACGGAGTTCCCATCTCTAAGTCATTAGATTTCTGGGCTTTGATTCTAGTGTACTTGTAGTCGGTGTGCAATACACCAACTAGTATGCGTATGACGGACAAATGATGGACTTTGTGTTCCAATAAATTGCTTCGTCATGTATGCTTTAATTGTAACTCCAAATTGATGTGCTTTTCATGCTCCTTGTGTTAATCCGTCGTTTACCAATGATTGACCACTTCTAGTAATAACATTATGTAATGTTGAAGTTTGGAGATAACTGAAACTATTCAGGGATGTTATCTTCAAACATGCTTTGGTACGTCTGATATTCTGTCTAGCGAATTCGGTACCAGGCTCTTGACTGATACCAAGGTTGAATAAAACGTGACTGTTAGCCGACTACTTGTCCCCATGTAATGCGGACTATTTATGAGGTTAGGATTTGTGACAGTACGATAATCTATACCAGTAACTGATGTCCCACACTTTACGAGTAGGATTGGGCGCCCGGGCAGTATTTCAGCCCTCATACAGATCGAATCATTTGCGTGTGGATGAAAAGAAGGGACAATGTATTGTTCCTTCCAAAGATCGAACTAAAGGACTAACAAAGCACTTATATGTTTATTACGCGATGCCATTCAGCGGGTGTTTTTGTTAAATCATGCTAGGTATGAGCAGTTTCGTATTTAATTTGGATCCTAAGTATTGAATAACACCTGTCCGTTTTTAATTCCACGACGCATTTTCTTATCCTTTCTGATAACTCGTGTAAAGATATGGTTCTGCCAGTTTTCGCTGTATAAACATCGTCTACTTTGAATTTATCTGGAGTGTATGTTCAAAAGTTTGAGCATCAGCATTTGTCATACTCTTGTTTTAGGTATTATCCGTCAGTATCGATGAAGATACTATCATCAGTTACATAACCACTACATTGGAAAACCCTACACTTGCACTCCAAATGGCTTCCAGATGCAATCTTCCTGGTGCAGAAGATTTGTTTTTCAAAAAATTCGATTCTCTTTTTCAATCCGGTCAATTTCTAGAAGCTGCAAAGTTAGCAGCTAATGCTCCTAAAGGTATTTTGCGCACTCCACAGACAATTCAACGTTTTCAACAGGTAGGTTTTTAATAAAAAATAAGCGAATTTTGGTACAATATATCTTATCTTACGTATAATAATGAAATATTCGCGACGGACGTCACCCTCCAATAATGCCAGTGCATCCAGTCAAGGGGTAAAAAGATCCTCACTATCATCATTAATCCTTAGTTATTTACGGTATTTCTAACGCTACATATCTGTGTTTAAAGGAAGTCAAGGTTCTAGACTATTGATTTTTGATTATAGCACCCATGGATTAACTTTACCCTTATTCACCAGATTGCTTGGAAATACAGTTTATTATTTCGTTTCACGAAAACGATTACTGACCAGTAACAATTAAGCGTATTTCGGACTAGTTTTTGCGAAGTAATTCGTGATTTAATTAATCTCATTTTGCTCGTCTAGCATGTAAAATCCGTTTCTTATTCTTATAGATGTCAACTACACCAACGGTAGCATCGGCCCTGTCGAATTATTTTGGAATTCTACTTGACCAAGGTCAGCTTAACAAGTTCGAAAGTCTGGAGGTTTGTAGACCAGTTTTACAACAGAAAAGGAAACAGTTGTTGGAAAAGTGGTTGAAGGAGGACAAATTAGAATGTTCAGAGGAGTTAGGTGATCTTGTTAAGCAGGTAATTTTCCTTTTTTTCTGAATACTCACCCGTGATTCCAAAAATTACTGTGCGTACTTAATTGAATCATGAGCACCAAAAACTTGCGGCAAAAAGTTTTGGAAAAATTATATTGTTATCCATAAACAAAATTATCACCTACTAGTTGGTTGTTGATAGATTCCCAGGTGTCTTCACTGGTTACTGCTCTTCAAAATGATTTTGGTTCAATTTGTCATCACATTCCACCAGCATATGGGTTTGAATGTTTGGAAAAAAATTACTAAAGCTATGTAAAGGAGGTAGTGACGTTTTCACTTTCGATAGTTCTTAACTCATCATTTGGGAGGAGAATCACGAGGTTCATAATAGAAAATTCTGGCTTCTATCTAAAAGCTATCAGTCCCACAGCTTGATACAAATATACCTTTTAAAATAGATGTCTCAATAATAATGATAATGTTCCTACCGTTTCTATGTTTTTTAGGTGTTTAATACATTTTGTGCTCTCAGCTTCATTCTCACCTTTCTCATGAATTCAATTTTTTAAGATGTGGAGGAGTACAGTCTAAGTTGACTAAACGGTGGTCCTTTTTTAAGTAAACTGGAAGGGTATGTAACTTGTGTACATAATACATCCAACCCGCCATTAATTATGGGGAAATGAGAAACCAAGGTTACTTTTATTTCATTTAAGTTACTTTAGGGTTGCTTGCCAATCATATCAGATTTTCACTTGTCACACTAAGTCGATATAATATTATAGTCATTTATAACGGCTATTAACTTTCATTATTTTTACAGGCGGACCCTACATTAGCTTTGTCCGTCTACCTAAGGGCCAATGTCCCACCAAAGGTTGTACAGTGTTTTGCGGAAACTGGCCAGTTTCAGAAAATCATCGTTTATGCAAAGAAGGTCGGCTACACACCAGATTATATTTTTCTGTTACGCAACCTAACTCGTATCAACCCAGACCAAGGTTTGCAGTTTGCCCAAATGTTGGTTCAGGATCAAGAACCTTTAGTTGATTTAGAACAAGTTGTAAATGTGTTTATGGATCAAGGTTTGGTGCAACAATGTACATCATTCTTACTGGATGCATTAAAGCATAATCGACCTTCTGAGGGACATCTCCAAACTCGTCTATTAGAAATGAATCTAATGTCAGCACCTCAGGTAAGTTACATGTTTAGTATATGTCGAGATTTGGTTTGATGTTAGTCACATTGTCATCTTGTATCTGCACAGGATTTCAGTGTGTCACGTCATTATGGGCACATTTTTGTTTTGAAACAGTTTTTTACCTTTTCAAGCATCGACATTTCGTAACTCTAGCAAAGAGAGGCTCACTATAAGACTACCTCTCGTTCCACAGAATATCTTTATTCTGATCATATCTGAGTGAATGTAGGTGTTTGCCCGAGTTTTGCTAAACTCAGAAAAGCCACAGTAAAAAGGTTCTTTAAAGCTCAACTTAATGGAGTCAAGAATATGTATCAGGAACAACTAGAGCAGTTAGTCAACCGTGAAAGCCACATCTACTTCAAGGTAGCTTGGCGTGATATTCAAACAGCAGTGATATCTGCCAGTAACTCAAACCAAAGGGTTAGGAACCATTATTGAATTTCGCTAGTGTCTAGTGAACTGTTTGATGCTCCGAAACTCACCTCGTCTGGCTCCGGGCACGACTAAAAACAGAGGCAGTTTAAACATAGGTTGCTGAAGAACCTACACAGTGATCGTTAGCAGTGGTGGATTGCAAAAGCAAGATATAGGAAAGGCGGAGGAAATAGGTATTAGTAGAAAACTATTCAAACTTATCAAGGAAACAGGTATTACAAATCCGGTTGTTAGTTAAGCTATTTCGAAGTAAAGAATGTGACCATTATTCACTTTTATGAGCAACACAAATGAAAAAATAATGTAAGTTCCTCAACTCTTAATGAGGTTAAGAATGCTATGGATAATCTAAAGCGGGTGAGAGCAGCTGGGCCAAATGGATTAACCCCGGAAATATCTGTTGTTGGCTGTTCTGTTTTAGTAGTTGGATTGACCGAAATCTTAGCTAGAATCTAGGAACTGAACGTGACCCCATTTGATTGGTGTCGATCGTTGATCGTCCTGGTTTATGAGAAAAGACAAAAATCTTGTGACGATCACAAAGGGATGTTTGACTAACGTATCAGCTTCAGTCAATAATAACCCGACTACCTGATTGGTGTCTTTACGACTATCGTAACCAATCATTTGAGACTTAGTGATATCACGGACAATCATCCTCAATGAAACAGGTACACTCACTTTTTTCCTTTAGTTCTCAAATCTCCTTATACCTTTTGTTTTTTCCCCAAACCTTTTCTACTACGACCACTACTACTAATGCTGTTAGTACTAGGTATATACAAGTCTAGTTGTCGAACACTATCTTCGGTTTTATATCATTATAACTAACCTTATTAATGTGTTGTGGGTTTGTGTCGTTACACAAATGTAGAACAAAATGAGAGATACATATCTTAGCTAAAGATTCGGTTGAATTTGATAATTATGTTAATGAACATACGAGCTCTATGCAAATTATCACATAACTGAGATGACCAGACACGAAATGCTTATTGTATGTAATTCATGATTTTGTTTATATGTTTCGATTGACCGTGTTGAATGTTAGTATTTTGTAAAACTAATGACCCTAGTTATTCTAAATCTAATAAATAAGGGTATAAATGAAGTAATAAACCTGCATTGGCTATTACACTGTTCGATTATCTTTATGGATATGTAGAATTTCTTTTTACTCGTTCGGAAAATATGTTCTATATGGTAACCGGTCTTGATACCCTTCAGGTTGCGGATGCAATTTTGGGCAACCAAATGTTTTCGCATTATGATCGGGCAGCTATTGCTCAGTTGTGTGAGAAAGCGGGGTTGTTGCAGCGGGCTTTGGAACACTATACTGATCTTTACGACATCAAACGGGCTGTCGTAAGTACACATTTATTAAATCATGAGGTAAGTACATTTACTTGTAATCTTAATTTGTTGTACGTGTCCTGAATTTAAATAGCCTTGAAAATCAGTGTGGTATATATGTATTTTCTTCAAACTGCTTTGCTCAATTCAATGATAACTAGGCCTAAACTATATACTTATGGACTCAAATAGCTTTTTAGATGCCTGTGTCCAGACAGCAAACGTTTTGAATAAGATAGTTTAGAGAAAATAACATATTTCCAGGTTTTCCAAATATAAAGATGATTTGGAAGCTTTTATTGTACTGTATTTAGGTCACGAGTGCCCATAGCCATTTTTAAAATATTCTCAATATAAGTTATCTGGTGTGCAGTTTCGTTCTGTTGATGAATTGTGAAGGTTATGAGATGCTAATTTAAATATGATATTCCTACATATTGATAAAAAAATCATCTTGCCGAACTGATTTTGGATAACAGAAAAGTTATACCTGAATATTCGGACTGTTCTTTCATTATCTGTACAACACGAAATTATGTTTATTCATCGATATGTGGTCGCGACAGCATTAATTCAAGCCAAGGATATTAATTTCATTTACAGTGCTTTATTTTATGACAGATTAAAATGAAACCAGTACGACTATATTTCTTCTCCATGTCTTCATTGAATTTTATTGCCTCTTTTATATACGAGTGTTAAAATGATCCAATGTTGTTAACAATATTGTATACTTTTAAGAGTTAGATTAAAATACCGGAATAAATTATAATCTCGCATTGTGATTCTCATTACCACAGTATCAGGGTTAGTTCAGCAGTTTCTCCAGTTCATAAGCATATTGAATTGAGTATACATTCCTCGCAAGCTCACGAATCACTCCCTTAATTCATTGTATATAATTTCCTTTATTTATGATATACACTGTAAAGAATTTTTTGTGGTCTTTGTAACAGTTACTAGGCAAATGGTAGACATCTAAATGTTCGTGATTATATGATTTTCTAACACAAATGTCAATGTCTTTTAGACTTACAGTCACTAATTTCACTTCCACACATTGTATTTGCGCACTACTAGTTGGTAGACTAGTTTTCGACCTGGACGTAGTTGTATGGACCAGATATTCACACTACTTCAAGTTTTAGAACACAGACACACGTTCAAACGCCCCACAATGGTAGTATTTCTCGACCTTAAGCCAGCATTCGACTCTGTTGATCGTGAGGTTCTATGGCAATGTTTGTCACTGAAAGGAGTACCAAAGAAGTACATTAACTTTGTAAAGACTCTGCTCGAACGCAACTGGTCAAGTGAGAGCTTATGGCGAACTGTCATCAGAATTGATTACTTCAAGTGGTGTTCGTCAGGACTACCCACTCTCCATTCTTGTTCAACTTTGTCGTCGACGTACTTTTAGAGATAACACTTTGCTCGTCTAAATTCCCAGGGGTTGAACTTCTACCGGTAGGTTCACTTGTTGACTTAGAATATGCTGATGACGTAGTTTTACTTGGAGAAGACGCTGACAAAATGCAGTCTTCTGACCACTCTAAGCAACAAAGTGGAAAATAATTATCGTATTTCCACCCGTCAATTGTACCTCAAAATGTTACACAATCCGAGTGAAGGACCTTAGTTTTCAGGAGACTGTCATTCAGGAATTTCTTGTAGACACGCTTTTCTCTCTATTTGAGTAAATTAATTCCCATCATAATGATGCAGTATAAATGGAACAACCCATTTCCTGAACTCAGACTTTGGCCTGGTATGTAACCAACAAAAAATATAGTTGTATGTTCAGAAGTGTTTTACGGTAGTGTTGAAGAATCGCAATCACCTGAATCACACACACTACAACAGTCCTTAAGATTTGTTCTATAACACTCGATGCTTTATTTATCTTTCTATTATACATCTTTAGGAATTCGAATTCACAACGTTTCTGAAGAACTCCACCTGTAGCTTGGGTACTGCCGGTACCAAACCCGAGTAAAAGAGGAGTGTTGGGCATGAGGTCAACCACCCCATCCCATAGAAAAAAAACCTTGCCAAAAAACGCTAACCAAATTAAGAAAACTGAATCATTTAAACTCTGCCCTCCGAGTTGAAAAAAGAATTATGATGCCTCATGGTGTAAGTCGAGATTCTTCCAAAGTCACAAGGCCGATGCCCCAAAGCAACAATTAATATAGGTACATGGAATGTCCGGATAATGTGTGATACCGCGAGAACCAGTCAAATAGCTACGGAAATGAGGAGATACAACTTAGTGGTGCTCGGAATCAGTGAAGTGGAGCCTAACAGGAGAGGATAGATTCATAAGAGATGCCGCTGTACTCAGGTCACAAAGACGAAAATACTCCACACACTCATGGAGTGGTTCTGATGCTGTCCACAGAAGTACGAAATGCGCTTGTTGAGTGGGAATCTCGTGAATCCAGGATCATCAAAGCATCTTTCAAAACAAAGTAGAGAATCATATTGAATGTTATCCATTGAGATGAGCCAACCAAAGATAACAATGACGGCAATAAAGATCAGTTCTATGAGAGGCTGCAATCGATCATAGCAAAGTGGCCAGGAAAGAATCTGACCATCCTAATGGAAGACCTAAACGCCAAATTCGGAATGGACAACATCGCAAATGAAGATATCATGAGACGACCTGAACTAACCGGGAGAAAGGAACAAGAATGAAGACAGGTTTTCAAATTTATGTTCATTCAACAGAATTTTAATTGGTGGCACAATATTCTTCCACAAATCCATGCACAAAGTTACGTGGCTCTTACCGAGTCACACTACAAAGTACCAGATTGATCAGATTTGCATCACTAAAAAAATAAGAGGGACAATGGAAGACGTAGGAAAAGAGAAAGGAGTTGACACAGCTTGAGATCACTACCTGGTGGTTGTTAGGATGAAAATAAGGCTGAAGGAACACTGGACGACTGGAGAAAACAATTACAAAGGTTCGATACGGCCTTCCTTCGAGATACTGACAAACTCAAGGAATTCAAGATAGCTCTCAACATCAGGTTCCAAGCCTCATACAGAACAACAAGAAACGGATCAAAGAAGCAGTAACTCTAAAGTGACAGGAGCTACTGGACCCCAAGTATCACTATAATTAAGAATGGATCTCTGTCGAGACACTGGACATTATTCAAGAAAGAATGAACAAGAAGACAGAAATTAACAACTGCCGAACAAAAACAGAGAAAGTCAAGGTACAAGCTGGTTACACTGAAGCAAACAAGCTAGTGGAGAGGAACATTAAAGCTGACAAGTGGGGATACATGGAACATTTTGAGACGACAGCGGAAAAAAATGCAAGAGATCAAAATATGAGACAACTATATGACATAACGAAGAAACTAGCAGGGAAATATAGTAAACAAGAGGGGCCAGTCAAGGACAAAGAAGGGAAGCCAACCACTGAGATTCAAGTACAGAGGAACAAATGGGTAAAACACCTTGAGAAACTCTTGAATTGGACAGCTCCATTGAATCCATCGGACATTGAGGCAGCACTCACATATATTCCTATAGTCGTCACTCCACCAACGACCGAATAAATCAGGATGACGGGTCATCAGATAAATCAAGAGAGGAAAAGCATCAGGACCTGACAAACTACCAGCTGAAGCACTGAAGTCAGGTATAGAAGTAACTGCAAATATGCTATACGATCCATTCAGGAAGATTTGAGAGGAGGAACAAATGCCGACAGATTGGGAAGAAGGATATCAAATCAAAATACCAAAGAAAGGTATGAGGAAATATGAGAACTACAGAGGTACACTGTAATGTCAGTACCAGGGAAAAGTTCTCAGCAGAGTGTCGCTGAACCGGATGACAAACTCAGAAGACGCCCAAATTCAAGATCAACAGTTCGGATTCCGTAAGCATCGGTCGTGTAAAAAAAACCCATGACATTACGGACCATCGATGAACAATCCATTGAATAAAAGCCACCACTGTACATCATCTTCCTTGATCATAAAAAAGAATTTTACATTGCTGATAGGAAAACCATAGGGAACCTTCTTCCATACTAAGAGAATCGTCAACATCATACGGAATTCATGCGACGGACTAGAGTGCAGTTTACGTCACTTTGTGGCCCTCTCTTGTACTTGCCATCGTTTACGAACAATTTTCTTATCACCATAGTGTCATATTAAGACCTGGAACTGTACCCAGGTAAACATTTCCGAATGGTAAATATACAGTGTTTGTTATTGATTTTAGAAGACAATCGTTTGAGCTATTTTATCAATTTTTACTGATGTATAGTTTATTTCATCATTCCTCCAGATGTGTGTGAAAGTTTAAGTGATTTTCTCTTTGGTCTGTAGAAGTATTAAACCAATTTTCGTATTTAAATGTGGTGTCAGCATTCACTTGCCTTATTTTCATCCGGAAAGTTTCTAGTCTTTTTGTTTCTTTCTTACAAATTTTATAGTGGCTTGTCAATTATTTTGGCTCACTTTCTGTCGATGATTCGTTGGAGTGTTTGAGAGCTATGCTACAGGCAAACATTAGACAAAATCTCCACGTCTGTGTCCAGATTGCTACTAAGTATCACGAACAGTTGGGGACAAATGCGCTTATCGAAATTTTCGAATCATTCAAATCATTTGAAGGCTTGTTTTATTTTTTGGGGTCTATTGTTAATTTTAGTCAAGAACCTGAAGTTCATTTTAAATATATTCAAGCTGCCTGTAAAACCGGACAAGTCAAAGAAGTTGAACGTATTTGTCGCGAAAGCAATTGTTATGAACCAGAACGAGTTAAAAATTTTCTTAAGGTAATAATCTTAGTATTTATTCTCATGCATTTATTATATACGTATAAAGTTGTGGTAATCAACTTCATTTATGCTAGCCGATTCTAGTTACAAGTTTAAATCATCAGTTGTCCACAATTTATCTAAACACATGTGTTCTCTTCACTAAGGAATTTTCTTAGTGATGGTATTGCATGTAGAAGATCGTGAGCTTATCTTATCATTACTGCACAACCCCAGTAGTTTTGATAAAGAATTGCTCAGTTGTATTTAAAAATATATTCATAATTAAAATAATTGGGAATGTGGTTTTATTCTGAGTTTAATACGTATTGCGTTAAATTCCAAAGTATCATTCTATTAGTTAAAATTCATCCAATAACAGGTGGTGTTGATTCGAAATATATCTAAATTCGTACTATGAACTGGTTTTACTGTGACCACTAAATTAGGTTTTCACTGTACTGGAGGATTTACTTATTTTGTTTGTGGTAGTTTCATGATAGATATATATTTAAATGCTAATTATCTTTCGTTCTAACATTAAATAAAGAGTAACAGTCAGCTAAATTATGTGAGAGGTTTGGTGGTCCATTTCATAATTTGGCACATCCAGTTTAGGCTTCTTACGCAAGTCTTGCATGATCACTCTAAGGTGAAAGTTTAATGTAAGAAACAGACATTTTAACATCTCTACAGAGAGATTTTTGTTAGGCACTTCTTAATACTATACATAACTCCGGTCTGTGATAAGAATAAGCAGTTCTCGTGAGGACTGTACTTCTAGACTTCATATTAATTTTGGAAGTTTGGTAGTTCTATTTCAAAAAAGTAAGCATGAACAGTTACGGCTACTGGAAATTGCTGCCAATACTGATGCTTTCAGCTAATATTCCAATTTCTGTTAAAATAATATTAATCAGATTTCTTTTATGGTTCTTATGATGTAACATATACTTTTTTTCAGGAGGCAAAACTTACGGATCAATTACCTCTTATTATTGTCTGCGATCGCTTCGATTTTGTTCATGATCTCGTCCTTTATTTGTTTCGTAATAATTTGCAGAAATACATTGAGATTTATGTGCAAAAAGTTAATCCAGCCCGTTTACCAGTAGTTGTTGGAGGTCTTTTAGATGTTGATTGTTCAGAGGATATAATAAAGCAATTGATGGCCGTTGTTCGTGGTACGTTTATAATTTTTCCTACTTGTAAGCTCAAGAAGTAGTTAATAAAGTATAACACTCCCGTTATTTATTTATTTTCGCAGGTCAGTTCAATACTGATGAACTTGTTGCAGAGGTGGAAAAGCGCAATCGGCTGAAGTTATTACTGCCATGGCTCGAATCACGTGTACATGAAGGTTCTGTTGAGCCTGCTACACACAATGCCCTAGCAAAGATTTACATTGACCTTAATAACAATCCTGAACGTTTCTTGAGAGAAAATCAGTATTATAATAGCTCTGTTGTCGGTAAATACTGTGAAAAGCGTGATCCACATTTGGCGTGTATTGCATATGAACGTGGACATTGTGACCAAGATCAAATCAGAGTACGTTTTACATATAATATATTATTTCCAACTTTAATTTAATGCTTAAATCCACTTGTACTTCAGTTTTTCGAAACCTGGTGGTTTTATGTTGTGTCTACCTAGAATAAAATCTTCTTGTTATTGTTTTGTAAGTGGACTTTATTTTTTAGGTTTGCAATGAAAACGCATTATTCAAAACTGAAGCTCGTTACTTAGTTAGACGGAAAGAGCCGGAGCTGTGGGCAGAAGCTTTGAGTGAATCCAATAGTTACCGTCGACAATTAATTGATCAAGTTGTTCAGACAGCACTTTCTGAAACCCAAGATCCTGAAGAGATATCCGTTTCTGTTAAAGCGTTTATGGCTGCAGATATGCCGAATGAACTAATTGAACTTCTGGAAAAAATAGTTTTGGACAATTCAGTATTTTCTGATCATCGCAACCTTCAAAATCTTTTAATTCTAACTGCAATTAAAGCTGATAAAAGTCGTGTCATGGAATACATTAATCGCTTAGATAATTATGATGCTCCAGATGTTGCTAACATAGCCATAAATAATTCTCTTTTTGAAGAAGCATTTGCCATTTTTAAGAAATTTGAAGTCAACACATCCGCTATACAGGCAAGTGTTTTATATGTTTAGTTATATTTTGTTTGTATAGAGGTATTCTGTTAGTGGACGTGGTAAATTGATTTGACGTTGTATTGCAGACTGCCTGAAAACTATCTTCTGCATCACTAGTTTCGACCTATGTATCTTATTATCGAACATTTGAGAGTATGCAATTTAAATCGTTTATTTATGATAGAACCTATGTACGCTGGTTAGGTATTCATCTTCAGTATTGCATTTTAAGCTTTACGTAAACGTTCGAATTTACGTGATTACGGTGTCCGTTCCTTCAATATGACTGATAAATGTGGATGTTTAGTTGTCTGGTCAACTACCTACCCACACAGAGAACACCAACGCAATCACACTTGATGGAGAAACTCTGAAAAAGGTGGAAACATTTACGTATCTGGCCAGCATAATCGATGAACAAGTAAGATATGATGCGGACGTAAAGGCAAGGATTGGCATTGCAAGGGCGGCATTTTTACAATCGAAGAATATATAAAACTCAAAACAACAGTCAGCCAGTATCGAAGTCAGAATTTTCAATACGAATATCAGGACAGTTATACTGTACGGCGCTGAAACTTGGAGAACTAATACAACCATCATCAAAAAGTATAGATATTTATAAACAATTGACTACGCAAGATACTGAATATCCGTTTGCCGCATGCTATCAGCAACAGCCTACTCTTTGAAAGAACAAACCAAATTCCAACTAAATAGTTAATTAATAAAAGACTCTGGAAGTGGACAGGAGATACATGGCGGAAATTACTAAACTGCATCACGATGCAATCTCCAACTTGGAATCGTGAAGGGAAAAAGAGAAGAGGAATATCAAAGAACACATTGAGTTGGGAATGTGAGACAGACGTGAAGAGTATGGTTAGCACTTGGAAACAACTAGAAAGGATAGCCCAGGACAGAGTCCAATGTAGAATGCTGGTGAGCGGCTTATGCTTCTCTACGATGAGTTACAGACCAAAGTATGTATGTAAGTCAGTGGTTTAGTAGCTAAGTCGCTTGAACCACACCCTACCTACTTTGGTTCGAGGAACTGCATATTGTCATTAGGCTCTACATTTAAAGTATGGCTCATACCCAAGTGCCCGGAAGGTGAGTTTATTTAGTTTAACAACACCTCATACGGTTGATTGTTCATAAAATACTTGTGGCGGCCTGCTTGAGCATCTGGGCTACCTGTTCCTGCCATCTAGATATTTCAAGAAGTTATCTATTGTTGTTTGTTTTAATATATCACTATGTTTATTAATCGCATAACCTATTCTGCTGCGTTTCTGAAAAGTGTACAACCTTTCGTTGTCAAAGTTACAGAAAACTCAATAAGAGACAATATGGTTGCTGGCAATATACAACGAAAAGAATGTACATTATTCAGTTGTTCATTCACTGAAGTGCTAACATCTAACTGGTGATCCCTCAATATTTATCGCCAGGACCGACCAAGAAGAAAGAAACGGAAACTTGTTGAAATACTTTGCGCTGAGAATTCTATATTGTACCAAAATTATAATATTGAATAAAGCTAATAAAAATAATAATCATATTCCTCTCTTGTAATGCAAAAGTTAAGCCAAATTTCGTTTTCGGGTTTTCATCTGAACGTATCTCCTGTACAAATAAATGTCATTATTATTTTACCAACGACCGTTATATCGTTTTTTCACTCTCGTGGTTTGTTTCTAGGTTTTGATTGACCATGTCAAGAATTTTGATAGGGCCTATGAATTTGCTGAACGCTGTAATGAACCAGCTGTCTGGAGTCTTCTAGCGCATGCTCAGTTAGCTCAAGGCTCCATAAAAGAAGCCATTGACTCATATGTGAAGGCGTCTGATCCTAGTCGATTCCAAGCAGTTTCCGAAGCTGCTTCAAACTCTGGTAATTGGGAAGATTTAGTTCGTTATCTCCAAATGGCACGAAAGAAAGCCCGTGAGACGTTTATTGAGTCAGAGCTCGCCTTCGCCTATGCAAGGACTAATCGTTTGTCAGATCTTGAAGAGTTCATTTCAGGACCAAATCATGCCAATATTACTGTTGTAAGTATCATATTTTAGTATTTTCTTAAAATAACTTCATAATTTCAAGTTCCAGTAGTACACTTGATATCGTTTTTGTCGAATTATGCTTAGTGCTTTCGGGTATTTGAATCTCATAGAATCTCAATATACCTGGTTTTTGTATGTGGATAATTTAGTGAACGTTTCTCTTACTTTTTAGGTAGCCGATCGTTGTTTTGACCAACAACTATACGAGGCAGCTAAGATATTATATTCGAACGTTAGCAACTATTCCCGCCTAGCAATAACTTTGGTTCACTTAGGTGAGTATCAGGGATCTGTGGATGCTGCTCGAAAAGCAAATTCAACACGCACTTGGAAAGAAGTATGTTTCGCTTGTGTAAATCACAAGGAATTTCGTTTGGCTCAAATGTGCGGTCTACATATTGTTGTACATGCAGATGAATTAGGCGATCTTATTAATTACTATGAACAACGTGGTCACTTTGATGAACTTATTCAGCTTTTAGAAGCTGGTTTAGGTTTGGAACGAGCACATATGGGAATGTTCACTGAGCTGGCAATATTGTATTCAAAGTTTAAGCCAGAGAAAATGCGGGAACATTTGGAGCTTTTCTGGTCTCGCGTCAATATTCCAAAGGTAATTTCAATGTATTTCCGGAAATTTCATCATACTTATCAGTTGCAAAAATTCTTGAAACGTAGATCACAGGTTAATCGAAATTGCAGTAAGTAGTGTGGAAGTAATCAGGATATAATTGGCGAGTTCAGATACTTACAGATGGGTCTGAGTTGTGTGCCCTGTGAAACAATAGAATGTTTAAAAAATAAGCGACGTAAAATCAATATTAGACTAAATAATTTAAAAATAAGTGAGTTTTGGTAAATCGTTTGTTACTTTATAAGTAAATGCAGCATTATGTCTGAACTGAATATATACCTCGTAGTATCTACTCTAAAATCACGAATGTTATATTCAGGATTAACAGGACTTCTCCAACCAATATACCTGACTTTACAAAAGATGATCACACAGTAAATACGTACGCTCGTGTTCATAGGCAAGAGGATATGTTTTTAGGACGAGTTGTTGGTGAACACAGTTTTCTACCATTCCCGATGTTGCCAGATTGTGTTCAGTTTAGTAGACGTTGGTCGTGATGTATTCTATGGTTTTAAACCCATAAATCATTTGTCAGTAAAAACTGGCACATTTACTTTAGTTTTGCAGATGTATCAGTTGATCACTGTGAACATGTTACTAGTTTAAATACAGTTTTTTATTTATCTTACCCGTTTTTGTAACTCATGAATTTCTCTTGATATTTGCCCTTTTAGCACTCCAGCGAAATCATTTGATTTATTTGTAATACATGATTGTTCTAGTTAATTTTGTTAATCCATTAAATAAATATTTTCCTCGTACAGTGCGTTCACCACCAATTCTTTTCAATTCTTTTGGGCAAATGCACATAAAGTTTCATTGAGTTATGTTGTATTATTTGTCTTTTAGTGTTATAGTTATTTGTTGATATCTGCAAATTATCCTATTTTTTCTGTTTGGTTTAGGTTCTTCGTGCTGCTGAACAAGCCCATTTATGGTCGGAATTAGTATTTCTTTATGATAAGTATGAAGAGTATGATAATGCGATTCTTACAATGATGAGTCATCCAACTGAAGGATGGAGAGAAAATCATTTCAAAGACTTAATAACACGAGTTGCTAATGTAGAATTATATTATAAAGCGATCCAATTCTACTTGACTTACAAACCGCTGCTTTTAAATGATTTACTCACGGTCTTATCACCACGTTTGGACCATACACGTGCAGTAAATTTCTTCATCAAGGCAGGGCATATTGCTCTAGTTAAACCTTATTTGCGGTCTGTTCAACAAAATAACGCAAATAACAAATCAGTCAACGAGGCTTTAAACGATTTGTTAATCGAAGAAGAAGATTATCAAGCAAGTTTCATATTTGATATTTATGAAGTTTATCGCTGACAGGTGGTTTCTTTTTTCGTTAGTTAACAATCTATTCTGTTATATTCATCACTAGTTGACTGATTCGGAGGTAATTTTAAAATAAAATTCTTCTCTACTGAATTTACTTCATTAACATATGTAACAAAGCGTTTGTTGTAAAAGCTTTTCTCTTCCAACCAATAAGTCGCAGGTCCTAACGACGCTACACAAACTTTATGTCTAATATGAGTGTGGGAACCACCAACGTGTAAATAAGTTACATTAAAATATTCCAAATTATTGTGATATTTATGTGTAAATAAATATAAAAGTTTTTATAACTGGGGACTACTACTTGCTTTTCACTCTGCATTTTTTAAAGTTATTTTTTACGTTTTACTTTCTTTTCAGGCTTTAAGGCAATCTATTGAAACTCATAGTAACTTTGATCATATTGCGTTGGCTCAACAGTTAGAGCGTCATGAACTCATTGAATTCCGTCGTCTTGCTGCTTTACTGTTTAAAGGTAGTAATCGGTGGATGCAAAGTATCGACCTATGTAAACGTGATCAGTTGTATTCTGTAAGTTTATTTTGTGATATGCTTCATTTCCTTTGATAGTTGCAATGATAACTCATAATATCGAATAAACCATTCGGTCCAGTGCATTTCCCACTTTTTGGAATTCAGGGTATAATTTTTAAAAGCTTCTCATGTAATATATTTTTTCCTCAGGTTTTATAGTTGGACTTGGAAAAGTATAAGTAGATAGCTAGACGATTTTATGGTACTAATCTTGATTTACTTGCTTTTCTACGATAACAGGGCTGTTGTATGGTTTACATTTATTAGTATTAGTGAAGTATTAGGTTTATGAGGTCTTACTTTCAAATCCCTTGTTTTAAACTAAAATATTTGCAGTTAAAAGTGTTCTATAAATCGCGAATTGAATGATCTGGATACTTCATTATCCATTTAGCTATAAACCATTTTGATTTACAACATGAACTCTCGGAATTATATTTGAGGCATTAATTCAAAATACTTGTCCTTTATTGTTGTGGATGCATAGGAATAGACCAATAATTATCATGTTAAGTCCAATGGTGTCCTTGGACTTTAAATGGACATTTCCTATTGGTCGATATCTGTTCACTTGTTGAATATTGTACAAAATGTTGTTCTCTATTTTATGGTACGATGTGGTATGCTTGATTGGTATATAAACAAAGTATGTTTGAAATATAATGATTCATATCTCCGAGGCTGTGGCTTGTGTTATGGACTCAACTGACTGGGCTAGACAGGGAAGCGCAAACCAATCGAGACTCTCGGCCGTCCGTTCGTGTCACTGTCACCGAGTCGGTCAATAAATACGCTGCTTATCAAAACCTGCAGTCACACCCGTTACAACATTTGTTTTATTGTCTGTATGATCCGAATTCATTTTCGATGGTTTGGTGATGGTTTTCAATATAAGTATTTTTCATTCCCGTTTGTTTCAATAAATTTAGCGGGAATTTATTTGTGCTGTTACAACATTGTTTTCGAATGAGTTACTTTCAGATATATGTAATGGATTATGTAACCGATACTATTAATTTTTAGGACGCTATGCAATATGCCTGGGATTCTCGGGATCCTGAGACAGCTGAGGAATTACTTCGTTGGTTCCTTTCCGAAAATCTTCCAGATTGTTTTGCAGCCTGTCTCTACCGTTGTTACGATCTACTGCGTCCAGATGTTGTCTTGGAACTTGCTTGGCGCAATGGACTTATTGACATGGCTATGCCATTCTTAATTCAGACTTTGAGAGAATTAACAACAAAAGTATGTTGTGTATTGATAAGTTTTCCTGTTTCGATTGCTTTGTTTCTTTCAATTGTTAAAACCGTTGTCTCTTAAATTCACTTTTTTATGGCGCCTATTTCATTGGGGAATTATTGATAAAAGAAGCATTGAGATAGGTGGTAGTATTTATAAAAACACTGTATATAAGTAGCCAAAATCTCATTTCCTTGCTAATTTTTCAATCAGGTGGATCGTCTAGAACGCTCCGAACAAACACGTGCTGCGGAGGAAGAGAAAGCTGAACAGGCAGTTAATCCGCTAGTGATGCGTAAGTTTTTTCCTGAAATTGTTCTGTGAACTTTTATAACTGATATTACTTAAGAGTATCCTAATAAACCACAGAAAATCAAGAATCAGTTCTTAACTAAAGATAGTAATTATTAGGCTAATTCAAACTTTTAACATTCTCTTTCCTTATTTAGGAACTGAACCTCAGCTAATGTTACCAGGACCAGCAGGATCTATGCCAGCTGCCTTAATCCCACCAGCGGGCGCAGCGATTGGGATGTTTGGAGTTACTGGCCCACAAATGTATTATCAAACAAACGGACCATCTTTTTAAAATGGTTTTTATCTATTGTGATACATTAAACTTGTTATCAGACTGTTATCTGTTTATTACTTATATAATTTTTTCTTTAGCCGAAATGTGCTGGTTTCCTGTTTTAAAGTTTAATCTGTCTGCCAAAATTTCCAACTATTGATAATTGGTTGTAAAAGGTGGGTTTTTAATCAAAAGTTCCATGTTTATGACCATGTTAAAAGTCTCAAATTTGCTTAAATAGTTTATTTTCTACTGGTTCTGAAACTCAGTGCTTTCTTTAATTAGTGATTGGGAACCTGCAAAACATGATTATCTACAAATTGTATAGTATTACTATATATCAACGTTAAATAGCTTGTAATTGATGAAGTCATGGGAATCTCAACTTTTGATATGGTTGAATGCTCTACGGATTTCTGTTTGGATTGTTTCGCTTCAGTGATTTCCATTCATTCGCTATTAATCAACGTAAATACTGAATGGATTGTGCAAAAGTTGTTAATTTTAAAAGTTCTACCGAATGTTGTTTTTAACGACGAGTGGTCATGTATGGGACCAATAACGAAAATCAATATATGCTGCATGGCTTTTCTATTGTAGATATCACTACTTGTCAGATGACCGAATTTATTTTGTTACTTTGATGTGATTGTACTGGGTTTTTAATTAATCTATATTAAGCGGCTGATATTTTCAGTGCGATATAACTTGGGCTTCTATATCACATAGAACAATTATATTAATTTTCCTTTATGCTTTCTGATTGTCAGCTACCTTAAAAATATAGCTTGTAAACATCTAGATAAGTAATGTACCAAATCGAATTCGCATGTCAAAACTTTAATGCCTCATAATGTGTGTATTTAATTGGATGTATCCTGCTAAACCTTCAGTAACAAGAAAATTCTAACTCATTATACAATCATAGCTGATGCTATGCTCTACGGATTCACACAAGTAATAAGTGGTACATCCTGGTTTGAAGCACTTAGACCTTAGCGTAATAATATCTCATCATCGTCACTGCGTTCTCAAGTTTTGAGTTAACCATGTTATTTTCATAAATTGGTTAACGTTAAGATTTTTGTGTGTATAAATAAGGACGGGAAATTTGAAAGTTCTGAACATTTGTAATCAACAGAAGTTTACTTACAATTATAGTCTTAATAAAATAGTTGTTCTCTTCATTAATTTTTTCCGAAACCATTATCTATACATTCGAAGCGATTTTATTTTTATTACATCGTTCACTTTTTAATAGCTTGATCTTATGTATATATGCTTTCGCAGTTATTTCACAATGGTACTCTTGTTTTTCATATTTTTTCCTTTCTTAGGCGCCTCTTCCTCTCCAGTTAAAGAGTACTCAAAAGAGATGCAGCCTTCTCCAATGATTAATTTTTAAAATTTGTAGTAAAAATAATTATGTAGCGTAAACAAACCGTTCATTGGTCAACGGTTAAGATATGTTTCATGTATCATTATTGTATTAATATGATTGACATATGTTTGTGATTGTTTCTCTGAATATGTTAGTATATTCACATTCTAAACATTTCCCAACTTCAAAATTAATGTATTCTCGTTCGAATGAGGGAACGTCTATTCATTCCATTTATGTCCAGTCTTTTTGGCCAATTCATCAAATCATTGTTGCAACTATTTCATTACTTATTTATTCATAATAATTGCTCTTATTGTAATAATTTTTTCTTCGTAGGTCATTTTCTCTTTTTTCTTTCTCAGTGGTGTCTATCACCCACTTTTTTAAAAAACTTCGTGTGATGCGTTATAGGGATGCTCACGTTCATCATTATATTTATTATCCTTTGGAGCTTGAACAAGTAGTAAATTACTCAATATACTTGGAATCGAATATCACTGTTTGAGAACTTATTAATTCGTCTGTATTTATAATCTAAAGGTACTCCTATACATCTGATATTATCCATTTATAATGAAGTCTCTCATCAGAAAATATATATGATTTCACAGTTTTGAATGTCAATTTTGATATTTCGGGATATTAATCTTCCGTTGAATTTACAGTTTATTGTTTATTAGACTAAGTAAATATTGATTAATACGGTATAGGAACACTGTATTGTTTGTGATATTAGCACATATCAATTCAAGTGCTATGAAATTATTTTTAATGAACTGGTTACACGTTTTTCATTCTTGGTCGGATTCATCTTACTATACTAATCACAAACTAGCTTTCAGCTGTTCATTGGGTTATATAAATATACGTATTCCACATTTCACCCTCGTGCTAAGTAGATCTTAATAATAGTAACATGGCATTATCACTGTTAATTTTTTTCAGAATTTTAAATGTCGATGTCATTTTATGTTGTTGTGACGATTGTTTTGCTACTAATGATTTGTTTAGTTTTACTGATCCCATGAGGTATTAAAGACTTTTTTATATATATCGAGCCGTAGATAGTATAATTATGATTTACTGTTACCCCCAGTACATGTGTCTGTTCGAGATTTGGATATTTTTCGGATCTTAATTAATCTTAGGTGTTTGTTTAATATATTTGGTGATTCAGTGGAAGAAACTAGAAGCACCAACTTAGTATCTTTTATATGCACATTTACGGGACAATTATCCAACTTGGCGCGGACTAATTCAAAGTTAATTTCTTCCTAAACATTTATGTATAGTTGCTTAAATATCGCCTAACTAGAGCTCGGATATTCGTAAATAGAAACGTTCCCACTTATGAAAATAACATATCAGCACGACTTTTAGCCTGCAGAAAATAAGCTTACTATAATCAGAAAAATGGAAAAACTACGTGATACTTGTACATTTAACATATTGTGTTGGATTTAATAGCGATCTAGTGCATTATGTTCTGCGATTTAAGAATATTGACTGTTTTTTTACTCAGTAAAACCATGTTTTCATTTAAAGGTAAAGGTTGTAATTCCCACTAAACAAAATCTACCGAAAGTGGAATAGAATTGTGAAACCTGACCACTCCGAATCGGTGTTCTCTATAGTTAGTCGATTTCTTGCTTTAGTCTCATTCACATCTTACGGTTTGTTACTCTGGTTCACAAAGTCCATAGTTCTGTTTTGCACTTATTTTTGTAGGTCATGGAGATAATGATCGTCTATTGATTGAAACAAGAGGAATGTCTTTCATTATTGAATGTAGAATGTACTCTCAGATATCACCTTTCGTAATTGGTAAATCTGTTGTCTTAATGGTATGGAGTACTACTCGTAATTTACAAGTTTTAAATAAAATCAGTGACTAGATAATCGGAGGAAAATGACTGAGCACTAGTCACAGTGAACGGATAAAAATTTTCCTTTTTCGCAATGCTTTTTTGACAATCCTAATGAAGATATCTGGAAAGCTTTGCATTTTGCATATTGCTTAATCTTGGAAATTCTTGATGTCTTCATAAAATTGTTTATCTATCGTTTTTGTCCTCAACGGAATATTTATTAAATTCCATGTAAATACTTGTGATATTAATCTACCGTATATCACTATCGCTAAACAGCTATAATAATTATCTACAATACGAGATATTCCTTTCCAATATTTTTAAATTGTTGAAAAATAATGACCTTATCGGGGAACTCAAGTATACGATCCTAATAGACCTCGCAAAATTGTATTAATGGAACTGTTACTCCATGTATGTTTTCTCAGCCCTGTCAGAGTTAGACTAACACTTAGTGGATGATGTTAGTTAGCCACTGAGCAATGGCATAGTTTTTGAATTAACTAATTATGCGGAGCTGATGTGAAGGTAGCATATATCTTACTAGTTGCACATAGCATGCAACTGTGTGCTTTTCACTGATATGACTACATTTCCTGCCAGCCCAATATCTTTTTGTGTAGAGGAATTTGTCTAATAAATTCGATGTCAGCTTCACAGTCGTAATCCCGTGGATGGCTTGCTTCATCAAATCAAGATAAAGGTATAAGTTCGTAATGGAAATAGGATTAGTCATATTCTTAACTACTTTGTTAATTTTTTATCGTTCCAACGGTGGTTATTCCCGTGTAGTTATTAACAGGCATTGCTCTCTTGCGCAGTACAAGGAAACGTCTTATCGGGCATTCGCTCACTTCGAAACTTTATTCATAACTCCCAGAAAAAAGTAGTGATTTACACATCTGTAATAGTCTTGATTATGCGTTAGCTTTTGCCCGAAGATTGTTGCAATTAAGGATAACTTCAAATCATTCGCTAAAGTGACTACCTGGTTCATAAGTAAAAGCCTGAAATTCTGAAGCGGTTTACGGTAAATGGTGGTGTAATAATCCGTGTGAAAACCTAAATAAGGCAACTTGCATGTTTTTCTACTGAACACATAACTATCTGGGTTGGAAGCATTCTGCAGAAAAACAATTTTCTTTATTCATAAGTGCCTTTTCATCTGTGATAGCATTTCATTTATGAATTGTACTAAAAAGTTGTTTGTAATGAAGCTAACTGAATATTCATATTCTAAACGCAAACCATTGCGGGTGTACATGCCCTGTCGATGTACATCGCTCCATTCATTTCCTTGTTAATTGGTATAAAACATTCTCTGATTTAGCAATATCAGAGTAAAGTTGGTAATTTGTCAAATATTAAAAATATGTAGTTTTTGACCTATAACATAATCCTGAAGTACCAGCAGCCACAATCCTTTGCTTGAGGTATTGTGTAAGGTAAACTTGGGGACAGAATTCTCATAACTGCCTTAATTTGTTTTTCTGTTTATGCTGAGTCATATGTCGAACTTCAATAGTTATTTATGTTCAGAAAAACTAGACTTATTTGTGACGCGTTCAAGAAACCAGTTACATAATATTTTTGCCTTACATAATGCAACGGTCTGGCTTTGTCATCGAATATTCAACACAATACTGTTTTATCATAAAAAGAGCGAAATCTGCTGTGTAGTTAACAACACGTTTATTATTTTCCAATCAAGCTTCAGTAATTAGGAAATGGAACAATCAGAGTTCGCGTAACTGTTTTAAGATATCATTTAAATAAATTAACTGCTACCATGTCATGAATCTATGATAATAACGGTATGGTATGGTATGAATCAGTGTTCTAAAAGTCTTTCGCCATAGTGTGTTAGTTCACTCCGTGGATCCCGTATGGGTTTGAACGAATACTAAACAAGTTAAGGATTTACACTGATATTAGTTTGCATAATTCATAATAATATACAGTTTGTCTAACCTTAACACATTCTCCATAACGATTATGTGTATATCTCAATTTTATGTTACCGTGATTCACGTTGCGTGTCATAACTTTCGATGGTTTCAACACTTACACTGTCTATGAGTTGTTCATGGGGTTTAAATAAGCTTTCTGGATACAAAGGGGTACGGGAGAGATTGATGTGTTCAAGGATTTCGGAATGAAAGTACTAAGGATTTGACGTTTTAAAAGATCGGTGTTGATGGCTTTCTCGTTTAGTGATCAATTGTGAATTAAATTCAGATTTTTCTATAAAGTAAGAAGTTGGATATTTTTGTGAATTTACATCGAGTTGACCAATTGAGTAGATAAACCATTTAAAAGCGGTTGATTTAAGTATTGTCCGAAAATTTCAGCATACATTTATGAGGTTAATGAGTATATATACCTATATTTACGCATCCAGTGTATGATCACTTAAATTCATTGATAGCTGAGTCATTAATAGGATCGTCGATTCATATCGATTTTTAATTATGTGTTCATCAGTTTTCCATTAATTTTTAGTGAACACACGCACGTCGGGTATTTACAACTCCAACACAATAGGTGTGGCTAACAGGGTAGCTACAAAAACTGCCACATACCGTTTCTATCCCTGTTAAAACTATTGATTGTTTACTATATTCAGTCTAAACATATTTCTTTTTCAGAGTATTAATTGACAGCTAAGCAGTTTATATTGTTTATATTTGTAAAATGACTTTCCAAATAAATAGTGAGGGATTAATTACAGTTGGAATTTAAACATGCCAGGAATGAAATAATTATCACCTGTGGTACTGATTGATCGCGCTATATCCCAAGTTGAATAAAGTGCATTGCTGGACGCCAACCCGGTCGTCCTAAGGCTTAACCGTTCTCTGTGAAAATCGAAACCCCTGGATTCGATTGCTGTCGCGTCCTTGGGTGCTTACTGCCGCAGTGTTTCCTGCTTGGAGAAAACATGCTCCCTAATCCTCAACAGTTCCCCAACTGAGATCGATTCATGACGAATACAAATAAGAAATAGATTAATGATCAGAACAATTATTTATGTTTGTACATTTTTCATGATAATATCAAACAAAAAATAATTTCGTATGTGATGTGTATGGTGTTTTACACTGACGTGAAATCAGAACTTATCGAAGCAACTGTGTTTAGAAAATAATTGTTTTCAGATGTTTTCTTTCAAATTTTAATTTTGGAGTATTCTCAATAATCAGTTTGAAATGAGAATATAGAAGAGAACTAACATGGCTAGCGAAATACTATCATGGATGTATTTGGGTTATAACTGATTATCTGATTACAAGTGGTTACATAATAAGCGCTTGTAAAATTCTGCTACACATTTCAGTGCATACGGAATATTCACAATCTTTAATGTGTTACTTCCGACTGTAATTTATAGGTAGGTTGCTGAATACTTGTGTGATGGAGTAGTATTTGAAGGTTTGATGAGTGAATTTTCAGTTATTATAATGAAAAAAAGTGCTGACTGACATTTGAAATCCAATAATACTAAGTGCCACCGGAGAATGCCTTCTCTAAGACTAGTGTATTAACTAAAGCCTCTGAAACATTCAAGAGCAATGATAACACTATTAGCTAGTAGAATGGGTTTTCCTCCCAAATAAGTAACTCGCCTGTATTACATATTATTAAATGAAAAAACGTTATTAATTATTATCAGTGATTGGTCAATATTAATTCAGTAGGTCGTTTGCTCTTAAATGATTAAATTTCTAAATGAAAGACTTCTTAG